CTCAGTGGCGTATTGGTATGAGAGATGGGATGCAGATTCTACGCTTCGGGTGCGAGTCCTACTCACGCCGTTCTACATTTTTTTCCTTAAAAATTGAAGATACTTAGACTCTGTACTTAGAAATTTCATGTAGGAAAGAGAAATGTCTCAGAATGTCTTGTGAGAGGGAAGTGTCAGTTTGGAGTATGGAGATGAGTGCTCCCCAAGAAAGTGATCCCATAAAAAAATTTTCGCAAGCGGGACGCTATAAAGCAAGAACGCGTTGTAACAGGCCTATCTTGGCAGTTACCACTAGGTAGGGCACGATTTAATGGGTCATCATAGGGTGCTTCTGTCGATTAAAAACAATGCGGGAAAAAATAACATTTTTCTGCGAAAATGCGACTAAAATTTTCGAATAACGCTAAGTACTTTTGCCTCACTGAAAAGCCCGAAAATATGCTAGCATAATTTTTAAAAAGCCTAGCTTACAACGTACCCTCAAATTTAATCACGGCACAGAATTTGGACTTGGAGTGTGGGCGTTGGTGTCAGGATATGGATTTAGGGATTTGGGGATTTTGTGCGTACGTCTGAAAAAATCCTGGCTTGCTACGCCCTGGTTTGAAAATAATGCCTCTCTAAGAAACATAAATCCTCCCTCCAAAACAAACGCCGTCCCCACCAGGAAGAAAGGCTCACCGTACCGACAAAGCAGAAAATTGTAACTGAAATACCTTGTAGATACGGCGACACAAAGCTCCAGTTGACAATAATCTTAAAAATAATAATTTTTATCCAAGCTAATATCCGTACCATGCGACAAAGACAAGAAACAGTTCGATTTCACATAATATGCAGCGTTATCGTCCCCTAGTCAGATAGTCCAAAAGGGCTCACGTTTTGAAAACTGATAAAAACTCCGGGTAAAAACTACGTGAAAAAGAAACCGTAAAAAATGTTATCGACCAAACACCTTTTTAACATTATAACATTATACTTATCTGGAACACGAGAACACGAGAAGGAGTTCTTGAGCACCTATATGAGTGAGGGTAAAAAATTAACACTTACATTTTTTTGTTTAAGAGTGTGTCCATGAGAAAACCAGGCAGAACCAGGCAGGGGATGATAATGCTCAAATTACCGATTTCGCTCAAACTCGGCACATATGTTAGGTATGTTTGGTACGTTAAAAAGTACCTAGCCTTAGAGCAGCACCACTTTCCATGTTAACCCAAAATAAGCAGTCACGAAATCCTATGAAGTGTTTTTATGTAGAAAATCACTCGAACCTGAGAAAAGTCGCCGGCGTTAATGGGTTAAACTGAGTCATAGGATATTGTAATTCTACATGTTTGATCGGCTTAGCCATCATGGTATATTCAGTTTACGCGTCAGTTAAGACTCCGTAGCGCTAGTTGGCTATGAGATGGTTATAGCCAGCTCATATCCAGCTCATGCTCGAGGAATAATTGCTCAAAAGCACCACAGACTGAACAAAAGAGGGTAAGATTTCCGTACAGTCCATACATTTATTATGCATGCAGCAATTTCGTACTATTTCCCACAAAATAGTTGATCTGAATAGAGTCAAAACGCGCATCCATAATAAATATATGAGGCTTTACACAAATCTTACACTCAAATGAAGGTAGATATTGCAACTTCTATCAAAGGCAAGCTACTTATGCAGAAATCAAAGATCTGCAATTTTGAAAAGATTTTGATCAAAGGAAGCTAAACAGCAATTACTGAAGGCTGGATTGTGATCACTTCCCGTGGTAAGGAACTGTAGTTTATGATCAGCTCCATTTCGCAAAAAATTACCAGGGTATGTAATTAAAGCGGAAGTCTAAACAGAGTCGTTTTCTTGTTAGATACTGTTCATACCTTGTTCTTCAATTCAATTCAACATATAATTTTGTTCTTCTTGAGTTAACTGTCTCGGTTTGTGAAACCTTTTATTAAGTAAAATAGGAATGAAAATGTAGCGTGGTTTTGTGACGTTCACTGAATCGACTGGAGCATGCCAAAGCGATGACCCTTGTCCACGACAGAGTAAATAAAATCAATCAATTCGTCATTTTGGCTGTTGCGCACTAGTTACTTGAATTATTACAAATAAATAAGGAAAGGGGCATGCACGTACATGTGAATCAACTACTTTAGTCGGGACACTTATAAATTCCTGAGATGCCTTTTTTCGGAGAAATGTAGTGAGATCAGAGCCAAACGATAAAAGAGCTATGTGTAAATGTGAAAGACTGAGGCGTTGATAACCTTTTGAAAATAGCCGTGTTAATATATCTTAATGCAGTTTATTATACAAGGAAACATTTTCTTATGGTTTAAGTTTTTTTTCTGAATCAAGCATTATTCTTTTCGGTCCAAGGGAAGCTGACACTGGAGCCGAGAGTCAAAGACGAAAATGAAACTGTGGAATATCCGCTGACCAAGAATCCGTGCTTGAGGTGCCGAAAAATTACTCTACGCAACCCTCCGCGAAACAGTTGCGCGTTTGTTAAGCAGAAAAACCATTGAAACGAGTATTCGTGCATCTGCTGTGATGGCTGGGTAAGATTGGCATCATTTTCTTCTTGTACATGGTAAGGAATTGACGAAGTTTCCCACCGTTCTCTTACTCTTTCGAGATCTTTGATGATCGTTTGTTCGATTGAATTTTGACCCAAATACCCTTTTAACAGTATTCACGAACAGATTCATGCTATGAAACGTTTTGTGCACTAAATCATGTTTGAACAAAGTCAAAGGGAAAGAAATATCGCCTAAAGGGACAAGAACTTAGAAAAAATTAGCCCTTTTCTAAAAACACCGGAAGCACAATTGGGCGTCTGGGTTCCTTTATGACCACATAATCCGCTTCGACAAAATATCTATTAACATGATTTACACTACAACTCAATGTGGATAATTTAGTTACAACCGAAGGAAAGTCGAAAGAGACGTTATTAGATGAATAGTAGGGAAATATTTGTATCCGGTACAAAGTCTGAATGATCACAAAATAGTATCAATGTTTGCGCGGAATTTCCCGGAAATCAGTTTGAACTCCCGTATAGCTTACACCTATTTAAGTAATTAATTCGTAAATTTCACTCTCTGACTTGAGTTCTAAAAGTTGTGACCTATAAAATTCTAGAACCATCTTTAATGATACACCAGTTTGGATTTTCATTTAACTGAAAACAGACATTTACAAAAAAGAAGAAAAGATGAGTTGGCTGATGTTAAGAACGAGCAGTATTCAAAAGCTCTTTCCTTGTGTTCACTTCCTTGCTACATGTGATCAGCTCTAGTAACGACCAATTTTTCGGGAAAGATCCCGCACTTGCCAGGGACAGCGACCGCTTTTGTAATGAATCAATGGATGCTCTTTTCCTTTGTTTTTAAGTTCTCGTAAGAGACCGCTCAGTCAACAATTAAAAGCATAAAACGTCTTGGCCTAATCAAGAGTACTTCGTTAACTTCAAATATCATCATAGGTGAAAGGTGAAAAGTAACAACACTTGAATGCTTTCTGCTAAAATCTCTCGTAATGATCAACCTCAATAGTTGCATCACACGATCGCTTACGAGAGCCCTGATTTTCTTAGTCGTACAGCTCTCGTTGGAATCACTTTTATGGATTCCCCTGATTCCCGAAGTAGCCGCTTACTCTGAGTTTTTTGACTGCAGTGATGATTATAGACTAGAAACACATGAATATAGAATTCTTAGTCACACCGTCTCGAGACTGACTCATAGGTAAACAAACAGTTGACATCGTCTAAATCCTAGCCTGAGGGGTTAAAGTATGTGTTATTATGCCTTTACAATTGCTCCGCAGTCGATCACTTAATTGCTCCAGATTTGATAGCGATTTCTCGGAACGCTTAAGCGACTTGTTTTCGGGAAACAGGACATAAATGGAAACAAACATTAAAGTCCCGGCAATATTTTTATCCATTTTGACCTCTTTGTGGTGAAAATTAAAAGACCTTCTGAGGGTAATGCCAAGGTTTCTCACACGTGATAGATTTTGCTTACTGACAACCTTGTTTACTCTATCATATCTTAGTTTGACTAACTAAATCTTTCACTATCTTTATAACGCTCGATTTTTGATAGAGTATTTTAGAGCCAGAGAGAAATAGATTAGTTAGCACAGGTTAGAATGGCAGTTTAGTCTCAACAGACCATTTTATGCCAAAAATTAAATGTCTAAAATGCACTGCTAGCCGTTTTTGATCATTGTCGTCCTGTATGGAGCAAAAATGTCAAGAAAGGAACATAATCCGCCGACCAAATTGGTAAACAAAGTCAGGTAGCGTTGCAACATTCCAAACCAAAATTAAAGCTACAATTATAAACCGCACTAAAAAGCAGATTTTACTTTAGTACCAAGCGAACCTCTCGCATTTGGTAAACTAACACATTTTGAGTAAAAACTGGGGCAGCAAAAGGCAGCCAGCTGAAAAACGTTTCCGTCATTGACGCAATATCAACTAAGTTTAAAATTCTCTCGATTCTTATGAAAAGAAATTGATGAGCGAAACAGTGTCTTCCAAAGACGATCATCTCTTGATATAAAGCGCTCGTCTAATTCACCAATTCATCATTTTTACATTGCCCTTCTTTTTTTTTCTTTTTCTTTTGGGGGGTTGGGGAGTATCCAGGAAGTGTTGGGAAATCTCGATATTTACTTGGTCGAAAAATGTCAAGTAATTTCTTGCATAAATTTATAACAAGAATAGCTGCAGCAAGAGAATATTTCAAAATAAATCGTTAACAAAAATAACAAATATACCAAGAATAACAACTGCTTACTATAGCTTGCAACCCTACAAATACATCGCCCCTCAAATCCTCACCGATGGACTGTCGAAGACATTAGCATGGTTATTTTCAATAGGTCCGCCTCTTTCGTCTTTACATGCATTATCAATTTATGAATTAAGTCTTTTCTTTTACATGCACAGCTACAGTTATCGAAAAGAATACTCCTTTTTCTCTTTTCA